CTGCTGCCACCAACATCTCCTGTCAATTCACATTGATTGGTAGAACTCACTTTTCACATGTGTGAAATGGGGGCAATAATGGTACTAACCTGTGGCTTGAGGCCAGTAAAGCATCTAGGATAGTATTTGGCATCCTAAACCAATTGTAGCTATTGCTGCTGGGACTACTGTCATTGCTAATTATTAACTCTTTTTTTTGAAGATTTATTTATTTATTGGAAAGTCAGATATACAGAGAGGAGGAGAGACAGAAGAAGATCTTCCATCCATTGATTCATTCCCCAAGTGACTACAATGGCCGGTGTTGAGCCGATCTTAAATCAGGAGTCTGGAGCCTCTTCAAGGACTCCCACATGGGTGCAGGAACCCAAGAGTTTGGGCCACCCTTGACTGCTTTCCCAGGCTGCAAGCAAGGAGTTGGATGGAAGGGCAGGCTGCCAAGATTAGAACTGGCACCCAAATGGGATCCCAGCACATGCAAAGCGAGGACTTCAGCCACTAGGCTACTGTGCCAGTCCCTAATTATTAACTCTTACCAATGATTTCTTGGCAGGGGCTTTGGTTCTTCACTTCTGTTCCCATTGCCACAAGCCTAGAGAAAGCCCTTGTCATGTGATAAGACAGCAAGGTGACTGCAGTAGCCTTCTCATCACTGTCTCCACCTTGGCTCTCATTTCCCTAATTCACTCCGCTGCCTTCCTTATTAAACTTCCTGAAATAATGTGCTTTGCATATGTCACTTCTTTTCTTTAGTATTGTCATTGAAAAGGGATTTGCCATTTATAGTGCAAGGAGTTAAGCTCCATATGGACTTGTAGCTAGAAGTTAAGATGCCCGCATTCCACACTTGGAGGGCCTAGGTTGGATTCCTAACTGTGGCTCCAGATTCTCAGCTTCCTAACAGTACAGACTCCAAGAGAGAGCTGATGATGACTCAATTGATTGGGTTCCTGCCACCCAAGTGGGAGGCCTGGACTGTGTTTCTGACTCCTGAATCTGGCCCAGGGAAGTGAAGATCAATCTCTCTCCCTCTCAAATCATAATTAAATTCATTTTCTGATGAGGCTGTGGGGAAAAAAAATAAATTGTTTTCTTACCTTGCTAAGGAGTATAAAATGGTACAACTCTGATGGAAGGCAATTTGACATTATTTACCAAAGCTATAGAGGCACACACCCTGTATTTCAGCAGTTTTCCCTCTGGAAGTTTATTAACAGTTATATGTCATATTATGATGGCATTGTTTGTCATAGGAAAGGATTGGAAACAAGCTACATGCCCAGTAAATTATGGTACACCTTTCCAAAGAAATGCCACACAGTAAAAAAAAAATGGAGTCCCTTGATTCCAGTATAGAGAAAAATTCAAGTTCAATTATTACAAAGTGGTTATTTTAAAAGAAAAAGTATGGAATGATGGGCTTAGTGCATTACGTTTTTGTATAGGGTTGAGATAAAGGCACACACAAAACTCCTGTGGTGCCCAATGTTTTAAATAGCAGTGCTTGCCTGCAGTAGAAGGGGGCTGGGCAGGTGGGAGACAGAGATGAGATTGCTACTTCACTCAGTTTCTTTCTGTAAAGTATGAGAATACATAATCAAAACTTCTATTAAAAATACTCCCATTACTCATCAGTTAAAACAATGAGCACTTGCCATGTACTGGGCTCAGGGAACAAAGGTGAAATGAGATTGTGGAATGGTAGAAAGATCCACTGAACTTGAAGTTAAAATACATGATTCAGAGCTAGCACCAGGACTAATCGGTTAAGTTTCCACGTATGGTGAAGGCATCCTTTATGGGAGCCAGTTTGAGTCCTAGCGGCTCCACTTCTGCTCGTGTGCCTGGGAAAGAGCAGAAGATGTCATTGGGTTGCTGCACCCACATGGGAAACCCAGAGGAAACTCGAGACTCCCGGCTTCAGACAGTCTAAGCTCAGGTCATTGTGGCTATTTGGGGAGTGAATCAATGGATGGAAGACCTTTCTCTGTCTCTCCTTCTCTCTCTGTAAACCTGTTTTTCCAATAAAAATAAATAAATAAACAATTTTAAAATATATTTGATTCACCAGCTACACATCCTGACACATAGTGGGTCTGCAAAAAGTGTTGACTGAATTTTTTTTTTTTTTTTATTGGAAAGGCAGATATACAAAGAGAAGGAGAGACAGAGAGGAAAATCTTCCATTTGTTGATTCACTCCCCAAGCGGCCGCAATGACTGAAGCTGTGCTGATCCCAAGCCGGGAGCCAGGAGCCACTTCTGGGTCTCCCACATGGGTGCGGGATCCCAAGGCCCTGGGCTGTGCTTCACTGCTTTCCCAAGCCACAAGCAGGAAACTGGATGGGAAGCGGGGCTGCTAGTATCAGAACCGGCAGCCACATGGGATCCCAGCATATGCAAGGCAAGGACTTTAGCTACCAGGCCACCACACTGGGCCCATGTTGGATGAATTTTGGCTGAAGCTCCTTAAGTTTTCTGTTTCCTTCCATACACAAGGGGTCCAGAGGTACTGCTTCCCTCATAGGTACCTTGTGAAGATGAATGGTAAAATATGTGGTCCACTCTAGTTGAGAGCTAACAAAAACTGTGCTGGACACTTTTCCATCCATTATTGCCTTGACTCCTCACAGAAATCTGGGGCTAGCGGTAGGGGTGCCAGTTCATACCCTGGATGCTCCACTTCCCATCCAGCTCCCTGCTTATGGCCTGGAAAAGCAATCGAGAATGGCTCAAAGCTTTGGAACCCTGCAACCACCTGGGAGACCCAGAAGAAGCTCCAGGCTCCCAGATTCAGATTGGCTCAGCTCAAGCTGTTACCAACTGATGGCATGGGAGTTAACCAACTGATGGAAGATCTTCCTCTCTGTCTCTCCTTTTGTCTGTAAATCTGCCTTTCCAATAAAAATAAATAAGTCCATATATCTATATCTATCTATATCTATCTATCTATCTATCGAGAGAGGCAGAGAGAAGCAGAGACAAAAAGAGAGGGAGAGATCTTCCATACACTGGTTCACTCCTCAATCAGCTGCAACATCTGGAGCTCAGCTGGTCTGAATCCAGGAGCCAGAAACTTCATCTGGGTCTCTTGCATGGGTGCAAGGATCCAGGTATTTGGGCCGTCCTCTGCTGCTTTCCCAGACACATGAGTAGGGAGCTGGATAGAAAATGGAGCAGCCACCAGGAGTCAAACTGGTGTCCATGTGGGATGCCACCACTACAGGCAGTGGCTTTACCCACTTGTTACAGTGGCAGCCTCACAAGAGTTAATGTTTTATAAAAGTGACACACCCAGATAAAGAGAACATGGATTAAGACACAGAAGATTATTAGTGCCAAGATGTCCCCTCTAGGATCCTATTCTGTCACCACCCATCCCTCGAGAAAACCATTATCTTCAGTATTAGCACCAAAGATACATTTTGACTGCTTTTGAAGTTTCTGTAAATGCAATTCTATATCCTGTACTTATTTGCATCTAGTTTCACTTAATATATTTGTGAGATTCACTCATCTTATACAAGTAGTTCATTCATTCTTACTGCTGTGTAGTATTCTAGTTGCTCCACTTCTGATCCAGCGCCCTGCTGATGGCTTGGAATAAGCAGGTGAAAATGGTCCAAGTGCTTGGACCCCTGTTACCCACGTGGAAGACCTGGCTGCTGGCTTCAGCCTTGCCCAACCCTGACCATTGCAGCCATCTCATGAGTGAAACAGCAGATGGAAGCGCTCCTCCCCTTCTCTTTTCCACCCCCTGTAACTCTGCCTTTCAAATGAAAACTTAATTTTTTATAAGGAAAGTAAGAGAGAGAGAGACAGACAGACAGACTGACTGACTAGTTCATTCTCCAAATGGCTTCATGCCAATGCCAGGAGCCAGGAACTCCATCTGAGTCTCTCATGTGGGTAACAAGAACTCAAGCACTTGGACCATCTTCTGCTTCTTATCTCATTAGCAGGAAGTTGGATTGAAACTGGAGTAGCAGGGACTTGAACCCACTCAGATAAGAGATGCAGGTGCCCTAAGCAGCAGCAGTTTAGCTTACTAAGCTCCAACATCATCTCCTATATTTAATTTTCTTCCCTATTCTCACTGATTTGGAGCTTGTTCTTTTCACGTTCTGTATACAAGTCCTGTCTTGGGTGTTATGTGCTACAATTAAACTTTATCACAGCTTGGCTTTCTAGTAATTTTTTCCCCCCATGAACAGGAGTTCTTAATTTTAATGTTGGCCAATGATCAGTTTTTCCTCCTGTATACTTAGTACTGTTTTTTTAAGAAGCCGGTGTCTACTCCAACCAAGGTCACGAAGATATCTAAAGGATACTGTTTTGTTCTCCTTTTACAGTAATGTAAAGTTTACCTGGAATTGAACTGAGTGTCCACACACGCACTGCTCCAATGGTTTGGTAATCGGGGACCGTGAACCCTGCAGTTGGCTTCAATTTTCACCCCCCACTAAACACCTCCACCCCACACTTGGCTTTCATACAGACCCCTGCGAGTGTGACTGATAAGCCCGCTCCTGTGGCTTGTTCATTTTTGGTTTACCTGGGTCTTTGTCCCATCAAACCCCTAATCTGAAAGCCAGCCAGGTGTCTGCAGGCAGCAAAGCAATCCTCCCGGTGATTAAATAACGTGGGCGTGGAGAGCAGTGGATTGGGCAAGGTTCTGTCTCTCTCTAGGGAGAGCTTCAGCAAGGAAGGGGTCGACCCTGTACACTCTGGAAGACTCTAAAGTCAAGCCCTAAAGTCGAGACAGAGCAGAGCCACGCGAGGTGGTTGAATGCAAATATCAAGGGGGGGTTCCGTAGGGCTTCGCGAATCGGCTCGCCGGGGTGGGGCCGCCCAGCCGCAAATCACCAGTTGAGGGCCAGAGCGCATCGCGCCAGCTCAGAGCTGCGCCTCCTGCCGCCGGGACTGGGGCCGGGCCGGGAGCTGGAGCCGGAGCGCGGGCTGCTCCGCGGGTGCGCCGGGCGGATCATGAGCGGACTCAGCTCCCAGAGCAGAGGCAGAACCGGCTGTGCGGGGCCGGCCGCGCGGAGCCTCTGAGACCCAAGCCCGGGCGCCCAAACGGGGAGGTGAGTCTTTGGTGGTCATTGGACTGGTGCTGCTCCTCTCGGGACGATGGGACCTCTTGCACTCCCCGGTTAGGCAGGCTGCGAAGTTTGTTTCTGAAAAGTTTAGGCTCTGGGGAAAAGTCAAGCGGTGCTGCTGGTGGTAGTTGTTTTCTTTTGGAGGCGGCGTTGGGGCCGGGGGTGGGGGGCGCAGTGGTTTTGTGGTGACTCTAGCTGGCCCAGGACGCTCCGGGGGTGCCCCTGGATGTGGCCCGAGGCGGTCTACAGCGAGCACCACTGCTCCATGGCCAAGCTCTTCTGCCTCATCTGCGGGCCCTGGCCCTGGCCCGACCCCAGCCGGCCGCAGGCTGGTGGAGGTTGGGGAGGGGAGAGAGAGGAGAGGCCGGGCCGAGGGGCTCCGCAGGAAGCACTCCGGCTGAGAGAGGGCAAGTGGGAAGTTTGCCCAGAGAGTGCTGGACCCCCACCCCCCACCCCGCCTCCCTCCGTGTCCCTTTGTTGGGAAGGAGTGAATAGTTGGTTGTGTGGCTCCCCCGTTGCTTCGGAGGGCGCGGAGCGGGCGGCGCAGCCCGCCCAGCCCCCTGGGAAAACCGGGTCAGGTGTGGACGCTGGTCGGGAGCCGGAGCCGGAGGCAGCTCCGCAGCAGCTGGCTGGGGTGCCGCGCGTTGGGGCGCGGGGCAGGTTGGCTGGGGCGGTGACCTCTGTTACTAGAGAATAAACCGTAAGGTCCTACTCGCGTCTCGCTTTCGTTGGAGAGCATTGGGGGACCGCTCTAAGCCTTGGTTCTTATCTCCCAAGCTACAAAGACCTCTGCAGGGGGGAAACAGTGGCGAGGGACGGTCAGTCGGGGAGCTCCCATCTCCCTCTGAGTTGCCGGGGATCGGCTTCGGAGTGGTGCCCCAGGCAGTGCGGGGGTGGCGATGTGTTTTGAGGGCTGGCAACACCTGGCTGTGGCCCGCGCGCCCCACCGCCCAGAAACTTGACATTTCCAGCATGATTAACTTTAGATCTCAGTCTCCTGTTTGTGGAGAAAGACCTGCTTGTCAGATGGATATTTAAGAACTTAAATCCTGGGATGTGTTTACTGAAATGCAATCCGTGGAATGATTCACTAGACTTACTGAGTTTGCTTCGAAAGTTGCGGTAGGTGAAACAGTCACTTGTCAACTTACGCAAAACTGTATTCTAAGTGGATAAGCCAATTTCCTATCACCTGGGGACCCAGGTCCCCACCCCGTCACTCTGCAGAAAGCAAGCACAAAAACAGATCAGAACAAACAACAAGATCCAAGCCATGCATTTTCTGTCCCCATCAACCCTAGCAGCCGAGCCAGTTACATTTCCAGACTTAAGAAAGCTAGGCATTTCTCAAAGCCTTTGTCAGATAACCATCTATGACTTTGGAGAAGATCCCATTTCAGAAATAAAAGGGAAAAACCTAAAGGCAGAGTCTGCTTATCTCTGCCTCAACTTGTGAGCTCAGCGGTGTCTTTGGTGAAGCAAGTGAGCTGGGCCACCGTGCACAAGCATGTCAGAGCCCAGCGACTGCCCAGGGTCGGGGAGGCATCGCACAGGCTATGTCACCCTGGACATTCACAGGGATTTCTCATTTTTGTATCTAGACCCATGGTCTCTGACCTTCACCAGTTGGCATTAGACCAAGTTAGGACACTGCGTCTACTTCCCCACATGAGAGGTGAAGTCCAATGGCCAAAGTCTCAACTGGACTTTTTTTTTTTTTGTAGAACGGAGTCCCAAATGTTGTGTCCACTTAAAGGAATGAACCAACAGAAGGAAAAATTGCTTTGTCTTTCTCTGTCACTCCGTATTTCAAATAAACAAATTAAGCCAAAAAAAAAAAAAAAGAATGGGGGGGGGAGAAGAAGAAAAGCTATATCCAAGCTTATTTGCTGTGCCTGCAAGAAGGATCTTCAAAAAATTTGTGAAAATGTAGATTATGTAAGAGCTAGGCATGAATTTCACAATTTTTGTACCAAAAAAGCTTTTTAATGCCACTAAAAAATGATTTGTTTTTACTTAAAGGGCAGAGTTACAGAGAGAAGAAAAGAAATATCTTCCATCAGCTGGTTCACTCCCCAGATGGCTTCAGTGGCCAGAGCTGAGCCAATCTGAAGTCAGAAGCCAGGACTTTCTTCCACATCTCCCACACAAGCAGAGTCCAAAGGCTTTGGGCCATCCTCAACTGTTTTTCTAGACCATAGGCAGGGAGCTGGATCAAAAGTGGGGCACCTAGTACTCGAACCAGTGCCCATAAGGGGTGCTGGCACTGCAGGCAGAAGCTTAGCTTATGGCAGGGTGCCCACCCTGTAATGCCACCTTTCCAAATGAACGTTTTGAAGTTCCTTCATGCTTGTGCTAGGTCTGTCTACTTGGCTTGGTGTGTTTACATGTATTCTACCTCTTGAGCACAGGGGCCACTCTGACTCGGTACACACTGTCCCCAGTATCCAACAGGGCGACTTTGGAACAAATGCTTCTGTTGACTGCATGGAACCAGCTCTATGGATTCCCCAGTCAAGGAGTTCTGAGAGGAAGTTGTTCTGGGCCAAGGAGCCTGATCGCTAACCCAGTGGACCTCAACCCTGGCGCATATGTCTATTGAAAAGACAGGTGCTGGGCCTGGCCTACAGTCATTCTGATGCCTTTGCCTTGGGTTGTGACTTGGACATCCAGATTCTGTGAACTTCCCAGAAAGAGCTTCCCAGACCACTTTGTTTCCAGAACTCTGTCCTGGCCTCTGGCTTTGCAAGTGTGAAGGAGTCCTGGTGAGATAGTGCTGCAAGGGGATTCCTGCATCTGGTTTGGTTCCTGGCCACCTGAAAGATTCCCATACCAGGTTATAGCAAGTGGGGGGATCGCTCTCTAAAGATCCCTTTGTGTTATTGATGCAGTTGCACCTGTGCTCGTTTTTCATGGCATGTATCTAAACTTTTTATTTATCTTTTTAACATTTATGTATCATTTTATTGGAAAGACAGATGTACAGAGAGCTTCCATCTGCTGGTACCCTAGCCTCCTTCTAGACCATCCCCCTGGCATGCCACATGTAGTGAGACTGTCCTGCTTCCTCTTGTGAAGGTCCCCTTCTGGCAGCACATGGCAGCTAATGGCGCCTTGCCAAACTCCCAGCCACTGGTTATGGTATTCTCTCTGTCCTCTGGGCCCTGACACTGCCCTGGGTCAGAGGCTTTCTCTTTGCCTTAGGGTCAGCCAGAGCCCCCTCCCCCTGCCTCCAGGGTTCCCTGCCTGGTCGTGGATCTCTGCTACAGTCTGTCCCTGCCTTCCAGGTCTTCCTGGCCCTCAAGCCAAGCCTAGACCTGGGACAGGCGGGATTTCATGATTTGTTCCTGGCCTGAACCAGGGATACAACACCTCACCTACCCCTTCCTGCACACTTGCATACTTCTGCCCCCAGCCTCAGTATCCTCATGGAAGGCTTTACTTTGTAAACTTCAGCCCTCCAGAGCACTTTGACTCTATGGTTGAGATGCCATGTGAATCCTGTCAGAATTGGTTATGGTCCCTACCAGCGTAAGAGTGTCTATGTCTGAGTTACGTTTTTCTTCCTTGGAGTTCTCCTGGTCAGGGATTGGGGCACAGTTATCTTTGTTTCTTCCAGTGTAATCTTCTTTTTCCTTTTTAAAATAAGATTATTATTTTTATTGGAAAGGCAGATTTATAGAGGGAAGGAGAAGCAGAGAGGGAAGTATCCATGGGTTCACTCCCGAGAGGCCGTAACAAGTGGAGCTGAGCTGATCTGAAGCTCTTCTGAAACTCCACGTGAGTGCAGGGTCCCACGGCTTTGGGCCATCTTCCTCTGCTTTCCAAGCAAGGAGCTGGATGGGAAGCGGAGTAGCTAGGACATGAACCGGAGCCCACATGGGATGTCAGCACTATAAGGTGGAAGATTAGCCTGTTGGGCCAAGGCACTGTCCCCTCCCAGTGTCTTTTGTAGGGTGAGCCCTTCCAGGTCTTTGGAGCTGAGAGTAGCAAGGGGACATGCTAACATTTCCAATAACAGATAAAGTGGGCGTGGGTGCTTTGCTGAGGGTCATATGACCCCAGAACACTGTAGCCTAGTCTTGAAGTCCAGATAGATCTTGGGTTTGCAGAGAGGAAGCAGGCTGTCAGGGACACTGCAGTTGCTGAGACTTGGTACCTGTCATGCCAGCTTAGCAATAGGTTTGCCCAGATGTTGTTGGCCTCTTACGCATGAAGAGACCCTGTTGGGTGCGCTGGCTCTCTGCATATCTTTGAAATGATCCAGGCCTGCCTAGGAGGAAGGGAGGTGCTGTAGCTTGCATGATCAGCGAGAGTTCACAGCTGGGGTGAGCGGGGAGTATCAAGTAGAGGGATCCCAGTCACCTACGTCACTGGTAGATAGGCAAGGGATTCTTTTTTTTTTTTTTAATAACGATTAAAATGAAGTGAATGCTGACAGGGTACCAGGTACTGGTGAGAGCTGGGAGGGGCCTTCACAGGCACTCTGAGTTCTCATTGTTCTGCATCTGCAGGAGCCAGGTCTTTTGTGTGGTCCCAATTAGACATGGAGCAGACAAACCTCGGGATTCCCAGGCTTGCCAAAGAGCGAGGGTGTGGGGAGAATGAAGGATCACCTTCCACTCACCTTAGCACCTGTGGGCTCTTTGCGCACAGATAGAGCGGATCCCATGTGTTTTGTTGCACACACAGTAGATCTATTCTGTAGAGCCTGCTGCCTTTATCCCAGCACCACCTCAGTCACTTTCTGTCTGACTGGTTGCCTTTATGCCCCAACTTGGAGCCAAAGTCTCCAACTTCCTTATAGAGCTGATGATGGCAGTACACTTGAGTGATGATTTTCACTCCCAGATCTCCCTGGCCAGTGCAGTGGAAAAGGTGGCATGTGTAGAATTGGAATTAGGATTCTGGGAGGAGGACAGAGCCAAGGGCTGTTCTCTGGCCTTTATGACCATTTGGGGAGTGAACCAGCAGATGAAAGATCTCTGCCTCTGTCTCTCCTCTCTAACTCTGCCTTTAAAAAAAAAAAAACAAAACAGAAGGCTTGTATCATCTGACTTAGGGTAAAAGCAATTTGTTCTGGGGGAGCCAGGAGCATGGCCTTGGCTCTGAGTGAGCATTTCTGCTTGGGACCACAGCTTGGAGCAGTGTGGGGGCTACTTTCGCATACAGCTTGAGGAGCCATTTTCCTTTCCTTTTCTGCTCCTCTGCTTGTTATCTTTCTTTCCTCCTTGCCCTTCCTAAGAACACAGGCCCCCTTGGGCATTGATGGTGGCAGGCATTTTCCTCTTCTCTCTGGGGGTCAATATGAGTGGAGCCTCTACCCCGGTGGCTTTCCTTTGCAGCTGAGCCCACTGATGGATGGAAAAATGGCCCACCTCCCAACCCTTGCCTGTCTTGTTAGAGCACTCTGGTTTATGCAGAAGCACCAGCTCTTTGCTTGAAGAGTTTTGCCCTATTCCTTTGGGTGGCAAATGAAGAGCTAGGTTGGCACAGAGATGTTCTAACAGATATCAGCCATCCTCATGTATTCTTAATTTTTGTAGGATGGTGGAAAAAGGTGAGCTAAATTATGCAGCAGTTTATAACAGTTTCTCTAATACATGTATTAAATCATGGGGCTGCCTGTTGTCCTGCTCTGTGAGCTTTTCCATCAACTTCTATTGTCCAAGGTGTTGAAATGGCTTGTGGACTTCTCATGACTCTGTGTATGTTTGCTATTTGGTTTTGTTGCCCATCCAGGAGAGTTTCTGTACAGGCTCCTAAGCACAGGATGTGCCTACGATTCCCATTGGTGTTGGACTCCATCAGTGATGCTGCCACCTGTGCTTGTCATTGTGATGATTTCCTCTTGTTAGGTGGCCTGTCCTCCTGTCCTTGAGTAGGGTGGGAAAGTAACACCAGAGAGCCTCTCTGAATAAGCTTTCATGCTTTCTTTTCACCTCAGAGTTGAGCATCATGGCCGCAGGAAAGTTTGCAAGTCTTCCCAGAAACATGCCGATGAACCACCAATTTCCCCTGGCCTCCTCCATGGACCTGATGAGCAGCAAGTCCCCTCTCGCTGAGCACCACGGGGAGGCCTATCAGGACGTGTCCATACATGGTACCCTTCCACGGAAGAAAAAGGGCCCTCCTTCCATCCGATCCTGCGATGGCTTCAGCCACATGGGCACGCTGCCCCATTCCAAGTCCCCACGACAGAACTCGCCTCTGACCCAGGACATCATCCAGGGAAGCCCACTGCAAGACTGGAAGGGTGAAGCCTTCACCTTCAGGTAGCCTCCCTAACTGACGGGTGAAAATTACTTGTCTCCAAGGGTGTTCAGGGGAGTTCTTGTGTAGGAACAGTGGGATAGGTTTACAGAGCAGGCAGCCTAATGAACTACCACAGGCCCTGTCACCCAGCTTTAACAGTCACAACTCATGGCTAGCACTGTTTTTAATCTATTCCCACCCACTGTCCCTCCTCTGGAATCGTCATCATCATCACTATTTTAAGGATTCATTTTTATTTATATGAAAGGTAGAGGTACACAAAGAGAGGAGACAGAGAGGGAGAGAGAGATATTCCACTTACCAGTTTATTCTCCAAAAGGCCACAGCAGCCAGCCAGCCATAAGCAAGAAGCCTGGAATTCCATCTGGGTCTCCGGTACAGGAGCCCAAGGATTTGAACCATCTTCTGCTGCTTTGCCCAGGCACGTTGGCAGGGAGGTGGCTGGATCAAAAGTGGAGCAGTAGGGACACAAACTGATAGCCACAAAGGATGCTGGAATTGCAGTTGATGGCACTGAGGCACCATGTCAGTTCCCAAAATACATTGATTTCTTTTTTGTAATAAAATACAGTGATTTCATGAACCCTTGGTGTCACCATGAAAATTCTGCCCAGTCCTTTGAGTGTCCTAACTGAAGGTTTGGTCTGGTGTTGAAGGGGTTCTTGCAGTGAATCTTTGCAGTAGTCTGTTCTTGCATTTAGACCTGATGGTGCGAATGTGTTAACACTGTATCTGAAACTGTGTCTTCATCAGGCTTGTGTTCTAGGAAGGGACTGGGTGAGAAGTTTAAGGAAGTAAGCAAGATAACTGCACATTATATAGTGAATGTGTAGAGGAAACTGTGTGATGTGCTGCTCATTTATTGAGAATAGTGCCTCTTGGTAGGAGGGGCAGATCTCTAAGACTTGCAGCCCCAAGCCTTCCAGGATGTTACAAGCATGGGTAAACTGAGTCCAGAAAACCATTGGGAGCAAGTTTGACATGTTATTTTTGTAATTAATTAATTAATTAGAAAGATGGAGTTATGGAGTAGGGGGAATGGAGGGAGATGGAGAGAAAGAGATCTACTTGCTAGTTCACTTCTCAAATGGCTGTGTTGATCAGGAACTCCATCCTGGTCTCCCGTGTGAGTGGCAGGGAGTCCAAGTACCTGGTCTGTCTCTGCTTCCTTCCTAGGCTTATTGGCAGGTAGCTGGAAGGAAGCAGAGCAGCTGGGACCCAAACTGGTGTTCCAGTGTGGGTTCCAGGTGTCATGTCTTAGGTAGTTTCTTAACCGGCTATGCCACAACACTGACATCTTTGAAATATAGCTTGTCGCTGGAGTGTAGTAAGTTAGTAGAATTGCTTCTCGGCCTTTTGGCTAAGATGAAGTATAAGTTGGTAGAGGGGTAGGCAGACAAAGGTTCAGAATTCATTTTAGAGGCAGAGTTTTTAAAAATTTTAAAAAAAATTAGTTTCAATTTCAGAATTGTAGAAGTAAATAAGTGTAGACCTAGCTATTCCCTGAAGAGGTAGCAAATTCCTAAAATGTTTCTAGCACTAAATCAGAAAGTTTCTGCAAGGTAATCTGGCGCTGGAAGGCCCTGGACCTGCTCCAGAAAATCTAAATGGATGTCCTGCATACTCAGATGTAGCAGTGGGCTGCTGATGGGACAGATAGCTGCATAGGCGAACCCCTGAGCATTGGGTTGATAGTGTCCTTTTGTTGGCCCTGAGTGGGCAGAGATGCACAGGGGAAGCAGCAGGGACAAGTTGCTCCTGAACAGAAATGAGCGCAGCTGCCAGACTGCAGGAGCCATAGTAAGCACCTGCTGTGACCTTGGCTAGCCTTTTGTTCGGGACCGTCAGCTCTGCACTGACCAGGCGCCTGCCCTGTTCTGGGCACAGTTCACAAACCGCCTGAAACTCCTGGCTAGGCACCAGCTTTTAGCAAGAAACGAAGCTGACTGGAGGGGTTGGGTCGGGAGGAGGTGGTGATGGAGTCCCCCCCTCTTCCTGTCTTGAGGAAGTTGTTCCTAAACACCAAGGTTTAAGCAATCAGCCTGCAGGGAGTTCAAAGCTTTCCGATTAGAATCCTGACTTGGACAGAGATCAGGTCACTGTGAGAGGTCAGAGGTGAGTGCAGGTCCCGGGTTTGAAGTCCAGGCTGGGGAAAACTGAGCAAGCACTGCTGGTATAGGGCTTCTCTATGAGCTGGGCCAATCAAAATTCGTACCTTTTTTCTTTGATTTAAAATCTCTTTTAATGAATCCAGGAAGTAACAAATAGATATTCTTCAAAAATTATGCTGAGTTAGAAGGCACGTGGTTGTGGGTAGAGCCTCACAAAGGCTTACCTCCTCCCATTTCTAACACGTTTTTTAAAAAGTCCTAAGACAGCCTGACTTTTAAGGGGTTCAAAGCACTTTTTATTGCTTATAAGTATTCCTAAAAAAAATTATGAGCCTCAATTCCTCCTTAGAACAAGTCATGGTAGAAGCAAGATTTGGGCATGTAAAATGCCAACGCGTGGTAGGCTAATTTTCTGCCTGTTGTGCTGACTTTCCATGTAGGCATCAATTCAAGTCCTGGCTGTTCTACTCCTGATCCAGCTCCCTGCTAAAAGCTTGGGAAAGCAAAAAAAGGATGGCCCAAGTGCCTTGGATCCCTGCACTAACATGGGAGACCCAGAGAAAGTTCTTGTTGTAGTATGTATTTTTAAATATGTGTTTTGTTTATTTGAAAGGTAGGGCTACAGAGAGCTTTCATTTGCTGGTTCACTCCCCAGATGACTGCAGCAACTGGGGCTAGGCCAGGCGCTTCTTCATGGGTGCAGGGGCACAAGCACTTTGGCCATCCTCTGCTAATTTCCAAGGTATATTATCCGGGACATGTATCAGAAGTGGAGTAGTCGGGACTCAACCTGGCACCCATTTGCGATCCTGCAGGTAGGTGGTGGCTTAACCCACTACATCACAAGGCTAACCCTGGTTGCAATATTGCAGTGCAAGTGTTCAGAAACTCGGAAAGAGTGGTGATGGCAATTTAGATATGTCAAAGAGAAACCCTAAAATATTTCCTGTAAGGGAAGATGTGAATGTTATCAATAAGCAAAGAAAAGTATTATAAACGGAGGCTGCTAAGATATATGGTAATTATAACTGTTCTATTTCATTTTTACAACAATCTCTCCTCTGCTTAAATGGCAAATTCAAGTTTGTCATGAGTATGTGTAGGAAACAAGCACATTGTGCATAGGATTTGGTACTATCCACCATTTTGGGCATCCGCTGGGGGCTCTGAGGAGTAGCCCCTGTGGATAAGGGGCAACTGCTATTCTCTGACAGCCACAGGTTTGTTATTTCCCTAACACATCTGCCTAGCTTATTAATCATAAAAAATCATCTTTATTGAATAGTAACCAGATATCTACCATATGGAAGAGCCTAGGCAAAGGAGAGAAAATATCCCCTTTGACCAAGAAATCTGTGTTAAACTGTCGGGTCCATATGTGACATATCCTCTTGAATTATCAATACCTCTCACACCTTAAATGTCTTGCAGATATGTTCCTGAACTATCTTGTTTGAACATCATGGCCATGTGTTGAGAGACAGGGTGGTTTTCAGAATGAACTGGGAAAATATCAGAGCTGTTGAGACACCTGAAGTAATGCGCTAGTTAATGACTTAGCTCAGTCTTCTCAGATTGCCTGCAGGAAATATTGAAGGGTCCGTCGCAGATCCCATGTGCAGCAGCTTCCCTAGACTGTTGGTACCAGCTATGGGCACCCTCTCTGAGCTGTCCTGTTACACAGAAGGGGTCAGTCCTCTGTCCAACCCAGCACCTTGGATACCTGGTTTGGGGAGAAACAAGCTGTGACCCCTAAGAGCAGACAGAAGGCAGTCCTGGACCCGGGAGTTGGCTTTCTCCTTTGGAGATGTGTCCGTTGGCCTTGTTGTTGTCTTGGCTGCCCTTGGATGTACTTGTGGTTTTGAAAGGTGGCCAAAGGGAGCTGGGGAGCTCTTGAACCTGCTGCCTGATGTCACAGAGGGAACTTTTGTTCCAGCAGTGGAGCCAGGCTGCTGCTGGGGGCCTGCAGGCAGGATTTTCTCTGGACAGAAGCGTTCCAACTGATGGCCGTTTGGTGCCTTTATCTTTCCGGATGAATTTGTGTGCGAATACAGGAGCTTCCTTGGGCTGAGTCGGGGCTGGGATAGTGGACCGATCTCTGATGTTGGGATGTGTGTGTTGCTGGCAGAGCCGAGGGATCAGCGCTGGGAGATTGCATGGGTCCTTTTCCAGCCTGTGGGTACGGGGCGGCATGCATTCCTGGAAACAGCTGCCAGGGCCTCCCTCTGCCTCCTGTGTCATGGCGCATGTGGCAGGACAATGCAGTATTTCATGAGCTCTCAGGAGTGGAGCTAACTGACTCATCACAAGTGTTTTAACTGACAGTGGCCCGAAGCTCTGCAACATCGTCCTTTTCCCAGGCTGTGAGTGACCTGTTGTGTCATTTCTGGTCATGTCGTCAGGGTGGCAGCCACAGCATGAGGCACAGGACCCCTGTTTGAAACACCAACTTTATGGCCTGTCATTGCTCTCATGTGAAGAAACATTTTAGTTGCTCCCACCAAATATGGTAATGGCAGCAGCCAGCCAGCCAGCCTTGAGTTCGCTGTTAGAAAGACCCCCACATAAACACCTGTAGCTTATCTATATATGGGCTTTCTGCACATTGGAAACTTTCCACATGCACAGGAAGCATTGGATGTAGAGGATTTAAAAAGTAAAAATTCTCTTTACTATGTAACAGGATGTATACTTCCCAGGTTAGTAGGGTGACAATGACTTTAACAGCCAAGTTCAAGAGAGCCTCTAAAAAAGAAAATCGTCCTTCATGGGTTGAGTGTTTTATTTTGAAGATGTCAGTGTGGATTTCCCTAACATTTGGAAATGCCCTGGTGTTTGAACTCAGCAGTTGTGAAGCGTGAGTTATCCACGATGGTGAATGCCTGGAC